TCAGTGAGAGGTACCACTTGAGGTCACATGTGTAGCACAGCAGAAACCCCGAGGCTCCAAGTTGAAAGGTCTCTAAGCAGGGTGCGGACCCTAAGGTCTCTAAGCAGGGGACAGAACGGCCGGCCGGCCAGCCAGCCGAAGGAAAGTGGCGGCACAAATAATGACTGAGGGCACCCTGGGGAGAGAGCAGCAGAGAAATGCTTCTGTGTCCCCTGGAAAGACAGCCTACAGTCAGCCATCCACACCTACTCATTTGCCCCTTGTCCCTCCAGAAAAGGAGGACAGGATGCCATTCTGCCAGATGTGGCTCTAATTTCTTACTTTTACGGTAATCCAGCAGGTCCGAGAATTATGAACAATCTCTACAACCAGCTATGGCCAGGGTGTTTAGGGAGACGTGCAGGCGCTAATTCGAAGAGCTTGCCCCATCAACTTCGGACTACATTTTTCAGGGAGCCCAGAAGGGGACATGGCCAGCACAAAAAAAAAAAAAAAAGTGCCATCTTCCCTTAAATGGTGGTGGCTAAGACCATTTCCAGTCAGACCACTGGAAAAACAGTGCAAGGCTCGGCCTCTACCTCCCCACTGGGTCCCCCCCCCCCCCCCCCCCCCCCCGCCAAGTAGCAAGAATTAGTTGCCTCAAATACCACTCTGCACACCTCTCCCTGGTTCCAGAACCTACAGCGTCTCCCACGGAGGTGAATCTTCTCTGTATATAAAGCACAATGTCCATGGGATCTCAGTACATGTTTGTTGGCTGACTGATAAACTGAAATTCAAACTCTTCCGCATAAAGCAAGTCTGCCAGCCCATCAGGTCACCACTTCATTTTCCACATCCCTCATCGAGACCACTCTCTTGGCCGTCCATTCCTGCTGTCAACACCCCCAAACTGCTCTCACCAACAAGCATCTGGTTCCTATTCAAAACTGCTCTCCACAGTAAGCAGATGTGTGGCCGCCTGGGGCTGGGGGGATGAGGAATAGGAGGACTGAGGGTGGTACGTATAGCGTACAGGTTTCTTTCTGGGGTCACGAAAATGTTCTAAAATGGACTGTGGTGCCTATGTATGAATATGCTAAAAACCACCGAAACGTATACTTTATAAATGAGTGAATGGTATGGTATGTAAATTACATCTCAATAAAGCTGTCACAGGAAAAAAACCTCAGCTCTGAAGTCATCCCCTCCAGGAAACTCTCCCTGACTCATGAATAAAGATAATTCCATTCCAAACAGCAGAGACAGAAAGAATCATTCATTCACTCATTTTTAATTTATTCATCAACGAACATGCATGGGTCACCATACAAGGCCAAGTGCGGTGCTAGACGGCAAAGATACAAAGGGGAACCAGACAAAACTGGACGCGGGTTATTTCAGTACTGTCCTCCAAGGTGCTTTTCCACGCTAACTTTACCAATTTCTCCACTTCTTTCTTCCTAGGGTTAAAGGAGAAAAAAACAGCTCTCCTGATCCCTATGTTCGACTTTGCGCAGTTAAAATCCACAGCCCCGCTGCCTTCCACCGCAGCAGATGCCATCACAGCCCTTTGAAAGGTGCTTTTCTCTACTGTGCAGAGGGAGATTCCGAAGTAGAAGGTGGAAAGAAAGGATACCACGCTGGGCCTGGTATGCTAATCCCCCCCTAAGCCAGGCCAGGGAGGGCAGAGTAATTCTCCAACCATCGTTTCCAAATCCCATAATGTGTGAGGAGTCCCAGGTGCTGCTCCAGGACACTTGAGTCCCTAAACTCACACTTTCAAGCATACATCCGCTCCATGGGAGATCCTCACTGAATACGGACAATAACCCTTCGCCCAGGCGTTCGGAAAACGTTTCCACGTGTATTACTCCTGAGACACATGCCCCCTTCCGCGGATGGAGAAGGTGAGACACACAGAGGTGAATGAAGTGGGGTGTCCAAGGTCCCACACTTACTACATTACAGAACTTACATGTAAACTGAAGTCTCCTGACTTCGCGTCCAATAGTCTCTCTGCTCTACTGTTTCCAAATGCCAACTCCTTCTCAGGGAATCCTGCTGGGCATCCCCAAGCACCTATTCACTCGAATGCTTCTTTTCTCTCCAAGAAGCCTTCCGCTTCTAAGGCCTACACGTGATGGGGTCCTTGTCTTTGCCAAGATCCAGAGATGCCAACAGGAGGCAGTGTAATAGTGGCTAAGAGTAGAGACTGGAGTGACACCAATGTGAGTTTGAATCCGGAGTCCGTCTTTTTCTGCACATATACACATCTTCTTCTAATCCATCAAGCCATCATTTAAAAGATCTGCCTTCCTCTACACCTAGAAGGTAGAAATCCTTACTGATTTTTAAAAGTATGGAAGATTGGGGCACCTGGGTGGCTCAGTCGGTTGGGCAGCCGACTTCGGCTCAGGTCATGATCGCGCGGTCCATGAGTTCGAGCCCCGCGTCGGGCTCTGTGCTGACCGCTAGGAGCCTGGAGCCTGTTTCAGATTCTGTGTCTCCCTCTCTCTGACCCTCCCCCGTTCATGCTCTGTCTCTCCCTGTCTCAAAAATAAATAAAACGTTAAAAAAAAATTTTTTTTTTAAAGTATGGAAGCTAACACCGCATCCTTAGACAACTCTCAAAAGCAAGAAAGCCTTCCGTAATTTTAACCACCCACCCCCATCCTCACCCTGGCCAGCCACACAAGACTCTTTCCCCCATATTTTGTCCCCCATATACGTGGCAAAATCCCAAGGTCAAAACAGGGTCTCTATTAGGGTGTCTCACATTCGAGGGGAAAAAGCTGACAAAAGGTGATGAACTATTTTCATTCAAGATTAGCTCCTGGCAGACTCAGTGGGTAGAGCATTCATTCACTGGGCTCTTGATCATGAGTTGGGGTCATGAACTCAAGCCCTACATTGGGCACAGAGATTACTTAAAAAAAAAAAAAGGGGGGGGCGCCTGGGTGGCTCAGTCGGTTGAGCATCCGACTTCGGCTCAGGTCATGATCGCGCGGTCTGTGAGTTCGAGCCCCGCATCGGGCTCTGTGCTGACAGCTCAGAGCCTGGAGCCTGTTTCGGATTCTGTGTCTGCCTCTCTCTCTGACCCTCCCCCATTCATGCTCTGTCTCTCTCTGTCTCAAAAATAAATAAATGTTAAAAAAATATAAATATATTAAAAAAAAAAAAAAAAGATTAGTTCCCCTAAAGTTTGTCCCTCTTCCCTCTACTCTATGGAAAAGTCAGCAGGATGAGGTACCAGACAGAATTGTTCTGGTCAGGTCCACAAAAAGCCCCGGGACAAAACTGTACATATTGAAAGGATAACCGGGCACCTGGGTGGCCCAGTAAGTTAAACTGACTTCGGCTCAGATCATGATCTCGAGGTTCTTGAGTTCAAGCCTCGCGTCAGGCTCTGTACCGACAACTCAAGAGCCTGGAGCCTGCTTCAGATTCTGTGCCTCCCCCCTCTCTGTCCCTCCCCTTCTTGCACTCTGTCTCTCAATCTCTCTCTAAAATATAGATTACAAAAAAAAAAGAACGACAGATTCTTCCAAACGAGCCAGCCTGGTGCCCCCACCCTGCTTCTTTTGCCTTTGTCCATACTGTTCCCCTTTCCTGATCTCATGCCCCTGACCTCGTACTTTCCATAACAGTTTGAGACTCTCCCTTCCAAAAATCTTTGTCTTCCAATGGTTCCATCTCAACAGGAGAGAAATGCCTAGGTCTTAATTGCCGATCCAAGTTTCCACCCATCCTCCTTCTCAAAGTCCACATCCCCTCTTTCTAACTCAGCCCTTCCTCCCCTCTCCAGGGCCCCATCAACATCAGTTGGTACCAGACTGAGCTCAGAACATTCAATAAATCCTTACTGAGGTGAATGAAATTGACTAAGCCAGGAGGAGAAGTCCTGGGGAAGGTGGCCAATTCTTCAGCTGCCCCACACAAGGGCACAAACAGGGCACTTGGGGCTCTCAAAGCCGCCAGCTCTTGATTTCGGCTTAGGTCACGATCTCACCATCTCACCGTCGGTGGGATCGAGCCCCACTTCTGGCTCTGTGCTGAAAGCATCTGTGCTTGGGATTCTCTCCCTCTCTGCGCCTCCCCTGCTCATGCTGTCTCTCTCTCAAAATAAAACACTAAAAAAGAGAGAGAGACAGGGCCCTAGAGTCTAAACGTGAGTACAGTCCATGGTATCAATGAGCCAGTGAGGACATGCTCCCCTCGCACATGCTCCACCAGGCAATGGCCTGGGCTCCAACACACCTCCCAGCCAAGGCTGTATCCAGCAGCCCTATGGTCTTCCACACCCAGTGCTAGAAAAGGCGAACCTGTCCCACTACTGGGATGCCACACTAACCCAGGCAAGAAGTAGCTAGCACAAACCAGAGTGCTGGAGAGCAGCTCTAGACCCCTGAAGACTGTCTGCAGTGGGAAATGCATCTCACTCAACAGGAATCCGCCTGCTCGTCCTCTACCCTTGTGGGCCAGGCCACGCAAAGCTGGTGTGGCCAAAATAAAGTAATAAAAATGGAAATGGAGTTCAGAAACACAAGTGTAAGTGGAGGCACCACTTAACCTCTCTCACCTTCTGCTACGTCCATGTGTGAAACGGGAATAAGAGTAGGACCTAACTCAGTTTTTGTGAGGATTCAGCTTGGCGATACACGGTGCTTACCATAACGACCTGCATGCACATGGTAAGGGCTCAACAGATGTTGGCTGCCACGGGTTTTATTCATTTTGCTATGCGGATGGAATGAGATGGAATGCGGCTGGAAGCCCCAAGTAGATGTGGGACACAGGAGAAAAGTCGCAGGCCCCCAGCCCCGGCTGGGGGAGGGGGGCGACACACGTGGAAGCCGAAGGACCGCCAGCCCCCCGAGAGGGGCGCAGCAGTGCCCGGGGCCCACTCTGGCGAGTCCCCCCCACCCCCCCACGCGCCTCCGCGAGGCTTCGGCCCCGGACGCCCCGGGGAAGGGGAGGAGGGGAGAGGGTGGCAGGCAGGGGGAGCCGCAGGGACGTACCTGCTTTCACTGCACTCCTTCCGCTCCCTCACCCTGAGCCACTTGCGGAGGAGGAAGCGCTTTCGGCGCGGGGAAGCGCTGGGTGTGGAGCAGTTGGACCACGGGGTGTCCTCGTCGCTGGAGGGCGTGATCTCGATGGACGGCAGCTGCAGGAACTCCTTGCCGGGGGCCAAGACGCCGGGCAGATCCCGGGCCAGCCCGGCCTCCAGGGTCTGCTCCTGCACGTTCTTCATGCGGCGCATCTTGAAGCGCCGGCGGCGGAGCGTGGGGGTCGACGAGCTGGACCAGAGCGGGCTGCCCTCGGGCGCGCCCTGCGGCTCGGGCACCTGCAGGGCGGGCGGCTGCAGGTTCTCCAGCATGTTGGCCGCCGGCATGGGGGCCCGCGGCGTCCGCGCTCG